CGATCCTCCTAAAATATTGATGTTTAAAAAATAAAATTTTCTCAAAAATTTTGATGTTTACAAACATGGAAAAGGAAAATGTAATTTGCATATTTGTTAATAAATAAATAAATAAATAAATGACCTGTGAAACCCCACCGACGCACCCAAAATATTGATATTTTAAAAATAAAATTTTCTTAAAAATTTTGATGTTTACAAACATGGAAAAGGAAAATGTAATTTGTATATTTGTAAAAAATAAAAAAATAATTGACCTGTGAAACCTGCTCGACCCACCCAAAATTTTGATGTTTACAAATATGGAAAAGAAAAATGTAATTTGTATATTTGTATAAAAAAATTGACCTGTGAAACCCGCCCGATCCGCCCAAAATATTGACGTTTTAAAAATAAAATTTTCTTTAAAATTTTAATATTTACAAACATGGAAAATGAAAATTTAATTTGCATATTTGGGGAAAAATAAATAAATAAAATTGATCTGTGAAGCCCGCCCGACCCGATCAAAATATTCGGGTTGGGTTATGGACATAACCCATTTTGGGTAAAATTCAAGTTGGTCCAACGCAATTCGGTTTAGGATTGAGGTTGGGTTGAGACTGGATTGGGTTAGGCCAACATAAATTTGTTGTGTATTTTACATAACTTTTTTACACAGTTACATCAATATATTTCCTTTACCCTCTCTGTTTCTTATCTATTAACTAATCAACCCTATATTAAGTAAGTTTGTAAAAATTATGTGGGGTCCAGACATGACACTAGTTGGTTGTAATAGACTTGCAGAGATAAAAAAAAAAAATTACACATTATACATGACAGTGTATATTTTACACAAAAAAAGTATCTTAACATTCTGTTGGATATAAAAGAGTGCAATTTATTCTTTTAACCTTTATTCAATCAAAATCAAGCTAATCAAACAATCAAAATCAAACTCTGCCTTTTTATTTCTGTTTTTTTCTGTGGTTTTTCACGTGTAAAAAGTTACGAGTGCAATTTATTCTTTATATCCCTTATATCTATATGTTAGCCCCTTGACGGTTGTCCAAGGGAAGACATGGGCATTTCAAGACCATGCCATGTCTTGGGAACACTTTGGCTTTGGTTAGATAGCCATGAGGATGCTCAGTGGGTTGTCAGTGTGCACACAAGATGCTTAAAAGGATGCTCAGCGTGCACTGGGGGTGCCCAGTGACATTTTCGTAAATATGGCGAAAAGTGAAACTTGGAGTTTTGACTTGGGATCTTTATGGGAGGTACCTTGAGTCCATAGAAGCTGGTTGGCGCAGACGGCACTTGATTTGGATGTCGAGAAGGGCCTGAAAGGCCTTTATGACTCCTCAAGCATAGGTGGTGTTTACTCTTGTCAGAGTACTGATTTTCCTTAAGACTATAGTAGGGGGGTCTGTTGAGCACATCAGTTGGGCTATGGCATGGCTTGCTTAGAGGGCTTAGCCAACGTGCATGGGCACGTGTTGCATCACTCCAAGATGGTTGCACAAGAGGGGAGCATCTAAACTAATGATGGGCAAACAAGTGTGCACCCGCGCGCACAGGCGTGCGCGCGGGCGTCCAGGCGGGCGTGTAGCCATGGGCACACGAGGGTTCAAGTATGGTGCACATGGATGGGCACCAGTGTATGCACCGGGCGTGCATGGCTTGGCATCAACATACCCACCGACGTGCACTCGGATTTGCACTCGGGCGTGCACACGGGCATGCATGGCATGGCACGCCGTGCACTCAAAGACATATGGGTGCAGAATGGTGGACTTGGCAAGGGCTAGGTTCACAAGGTTGGCTCAGATGTTGCTAAAGCATGGACCACACAAGTCATGGATTGCGGTTACAAGAGATAGCTAAGTGGGCTCAGTTGGTTGGGGGAAGTTACTAACACTTCCCCACTCATTATGGGAAGTGGGGGTGTGCTGATTAACTTCCCATGCAGGTGGCACAAATCTGAGATGACAACATGCAAGCGGTTGGAGGTGGTTTTTTCCACTATGCAGAGTGCAACTTCTTGTGGGATATGTGGCATGAGCAGAACATGCCAACAATAGTCTAGCAGTTGGGCTTGTTAACTGCCTTGGAAATGCTGGCATACTTAGAGGGTGCCAGCACGACCCTTGGTGGATGGGGGTGTCATCCATCATCTTAGTGGGCGGTTATGAGCGGTTTTGAGAGTGGCCTATATAATGTTAAGGTGGGCTTTGTAGAGGAAATAGATTGGAGGGTGTGAGCCTTGGTTCCTTATACGAACTCATGTTCCTTTGTAATATGTTTAATATGAGCAAAGGTTGGGGCTTGTCCCAGTAAACTGTGCCTGCCTTCTTTACATTTCAACATTGTGTGTGTTGTGTTGTGAGTTGGCTAAGACTTGGTGGCCCCAAGTGCCATTACAGAGGCGAAAATTTGTGGTGTGATTTAACCCTGTAACACCATACATGATACATTGACAGTACAAGATATATATTTGATACATACATACACTAGATATATCATCATATATGAATGCTTTCCGATACATACGATGAAGGAGTCGGGTCAAGCCAAGCATTTGACCTTTATTCAATCAAAATCAAGCTAACCAAACAATCAAAATCAATGATGGATATAAGGGACTAAAGGACATACCTCAACAAAATATAAAGAATAAACTGCACTCGTAACTTTTTACACGTGAAAAACCACAGAAAAAAATAGAAATATAAAGGCAGAGTTTGATTTTGATTTTGATTGTTTGGTTAGCTTGATTTTGATTGAATAAAGGTCAAATGCTTGGCTTGACCCGACTCCTTCATCATATGTATCGGAAAGCATTCATATATGATGATATATCTAGTGTATGTATATATCAAATATGTATCTTGTACTGTCAATGTATCATGTATGGATATAAGGGACTAAAGGACATACCTCAATCGTACACTTGAATGGACGCCACTCAAATTCAATCATCATATGAAAACCAGTGCTAATTTAAGCCAACTACCTTACGGACAAAAAAAGAATTATTTCTTTTTGTCATGTTTGGAAAAACAACACTACACATGTCTCTAAAGATTCTAAACTGACACCATCACACGATAGTTTCTTAGTTGTCTTCATCACCCTGTTATATTGTATGCTTTGACATAGGCCTGCAGCATTCAGCAAGAACTTAATGCTACAAACAGTAAGGAGTGATATAAATATATGTGGCTGTAAGTTTCGGAATTTTTTTCAGTATCTCCAGAAAATTACCTTGTACTACTTCCATTCAAACAGAATTCTCCATTTCTTTTGATAATAAAAAATGAAAAGCCACATCAGTTAGTACATAATTCTTTTTTAAGAGTTCGATATTATTATACATTTTTATAAATTAATTGATTCGACCACTTTGTATTGATATTTGTCTGAATTTATTATATCGCGACTGTGATTATGAACCATGGGTGAGAATATTATCGGTATCTCCGGTACTCCATAGCCGTTCTTAAATTTGGTACTGAGATGTCTAATGCTTCAAAATAAGAACATGAATCCACTTGTGAATGGATGAGTGATAAAATATGCTATGGTGGAAACGCATTATAAGAAATTTTACATGCGGGTTAGGAAGGCTTTTCCGGAATGGTGACACAATTATCAAATAATTTCACATTATTTTCAAATATTTGATCTCTTGATGTCCAAATGGTTGTTTTTTCCCTTTTGTGTAAAAATAATTCCCCAATAATTGTATGTCAATTTCACATAATTTTTACAAACCTACTTAATATAGGGTTGATTTTTTAATGGAATGAGAAAGAGTGAAGAGAAAGGAAATATGCTTAGGTGACTGTGTAAAAAAAGTTGTGTAAAATACACAATAATTTTATACATTAGTGACGTGTCCATGTATTTTAACAGACAACTGGAGATAAAAAAAAAAAAAAAAAAAAAATTACATATGATACGTGCCTCGGTGACTGTGTATATTTTTTCACAAAAAAATATTTTAACATACTACTGAAGAGCATCTCCAACCGTTGTATATATTTTTTTGTGTAAATATGATGTATCATTATAGATTTATACAAAAAAATTGAATTATTTATTTTTTAACTCCCGTAATTGTTTTATACCTTTTGTCTAAAAATATATTTCCAATAACAACCAACCAATATCATGCATGTACTCACATAATTTTTATAAACCTACTTAATATAGGGTGTATCCCTTAATAGAATGAGAAAGAGGGAGGCGAAATGAAATATATTAATGTAGCTGTATAAAATACCCAACAATTTTACACATTAATGATGTGACAATATATTTTAATATATTACTGAAGATAAAAAAAAATAAATAAATAAATAAAAAAAAAAATAAAAAATAAATTTACACATATGAAGCCTTATATATGTTATATAAAAAAGTATTTTAACATACTGATGGAATACTTTAAAATTTTAAGTCAATTAAACAATAGCAACTACCATAAAACAATTCATAGGATCAAACAAGATATAAAGAATAAATTGCACTCGTAACTTTTTATACATGAAAAAAAATATTGACCAAGCTAGAGTTTGATTGCTTGGTTAGGTTGATTGAATCTAGCTCTAAAGGTTAAAAGCTTGGCTTGACTCGACTATCATTCATATGAATCGGAAAGCATTCACATATATGATGATATATAAGTGTATGTATATAACAAATATACTGTTTGCAATACAATATATATGTACAATGGACTAAAGGACATACCTCAATGGTACACTTAAATGGCCGCCACTCAAATTCAAGCATCATATCCCAGTGCCCCCACATAATAGTTTCATAGTTGTCTTCATCACCCTGTGATATCGTATACTGGACATGGTCAACAACTTAATGCTATAAACAGTAAGGAGAGATATAAATACATGTGGCTACATATATATTATTTTGCAAACAAGATATTTGATATATACACACACTTAATATATTATCATATATCTAAAATTATTAGATGACTTGGGACATATAATTTCAAACAATCTAATAGTAGTAATTTAACGGCACAAGATTTATGGTATGTGCTCAGGTGAGACCCACAATAATTTAATTTCTATGATGATGGATATTAAGATTTAACCCAAGTTAAACGTGGTTATGAATTCATTTGTCAACTCATTGTCTAAATCTATAAATGAAGGCACATTTATGTGATTATGGGAGGGAGGTGTGTATGAGACAAGAAAAAAAAAAAAAAAAACAGAAAAAGAAAAAAAGAATGGGGAGTGACGTGAGCTCTAAGATACTTATCTTTGGTGGGACTGGCTACATTGGTAGCTACATGGTGAAGGCAAGCATCTACAATGGCTATCCAACTTATGTCTATTCTAGGCCTGACTGCCCCAAGACCGACTTGCTTCAAGAGTTCCAGTCCATGGGCGTTACACTAATCAAAGTACTCTCTCTCTCTATACATGATCTCCATATATATATATATATGTATGTATGTATGTATGTATATAGATATGTATTTACTCGAATTTTTCGTCCCTGAACAATGTTGAAACATGCAGGGAGGTTTGGATGAGCATGAGAAGCTTGTATCGGTGCTTCGACAAGTAGATGTGGTGATCTCTGCACTTGCAATTCCTCAGGTTCATGACCAGCTTAAAATCATTGAGGCAATTAAGGTTGCTGGTAATATAAAGGTAGGCAATCTATTCTCTGTTAACTTAAAACAGTGTTAAGTGAGAATGCAGAGTTTGGAATCTTGAGAAAATTTACTGTCTGTTTTAGAAACTGTTTTATGTGAAAAATCAGTTATGAAAAATCTTGTTTTTGTTGAATTGTCCTTTATAATTTTTTGAAAGCAGTTTTCTGTTTTCTGAATTTTTAAAAATCGTTTTGAAAAAATTGAACCAGGTAGGCAATTTAGGTGTTTAATATGTTGTGCCTTTTAATATCTAGTGTTTGATCTTTATCATATCCTTCCAACAACGTCAATAAACTCCCCAAAAGGTACAAGTGAGTATTGTTGCAATTATTTTTCGCCGACAAATAGTACAACTAATTATTTTGTTCCATCAACCATGGAGACTTGAACTTTTATCCCTTCAAAGTAACCTTACATGCCTTAAGCTACGAGAAAAATTTCCTTGTGCCCCCGTTGCACCGTGTAACGGATGTATTCAGACCGTCTGAATAATACACGTTGCACGGCGTAACAGGACCAAAGAAGTTTTTCTCCTGGTGGTATATAAATGATAATATCCGTTCTCCAAAGAAAAAGTTAAGAGTTTTGAGTCTTATAAGAGGCATGTCGTGGGTAGCGTGCATCGGCTCGACCATTTAAACCATTTTCACTCATTTTATCCAAAGGTAATTGTTCAGTGCATGTGGGACTGGAAAACTGCATGTGTTCGATGGTGAATTATTGGGTGCTCTAAGAGACCTGACACCACTATTATGGATATTTATCATTGCTTCAAACAACCGACACTTATTATTCCATAAATGCCCTTATTAGAGGTTCTTTCCGTCGGATTTTGGATGTGAAGAGGACAGGGTGATTGCTCTGCCACCATTCCAAGACGTGCTTGATACAAAGAAGAAGATCCGAAGGGCCATTGAAGCAGCTCAGATCCCTTACACCTTTGTGTCTGCGAACTGCTTTGGTGCATACTTTGTTAATTATTTGCTCCATCCACATGACCCACAAAGGGATGATATCACTGTCTATGGCACTGGTGAAGCCAAGGGTACAATATTTTATACCTATCACCTCTCGAATCATAACATGTGTGTGTTTTTCATAACTTAGAACTTACGTTTGTTTAATTTTCAATGTTGTTACTAGCTGTGCTTAATTCTGAAGAAGATATTGCTACATACACAATCAAGGTAGCAACTGACCAAAGAACATGCAACCGTCTTGTCATATATCGTCCATCACCAAACATTGTATCGCAGCTCGAGTTGATCTCTCTCTGGGAGAAGAAAACTGGTCGGACGTTTAACAGAGTTCATGTCTCGGAGGAAGAAATTGTGAAGCTTTCAGAGAGTAAGTTGTTCTTCTTGTTTTCTTTTTTCCTTTCCTTTTAGTAATTTATTTGTTTTCTTGGATCCCAACAAATAATTCACACAAGTAGAGAAGACCCTTAGTCATTATTATGGCAAGGATTAAGGAGCAAGTAGTTTCTGTTCCACATCATCAGATCTGGATGGGGAGGGTCTTTCGAAGTACACAGTGTCATGTCAAACGCCCACACGGGTTTTGGGTTGTTGTATCCATGTCTGGGTACCGTAAAATTTTGATACGTTGTGTATATAATTTTGATATGTTGTGTGTGTGTGTATATATATATATATTTCATTGGCAAGAAACTCAGACACCTATTTGTTCAAACGAGACTCGAGCCCTCACTTTTCACTTTGAGAGATAGAGGAGAGATATATATTTCATTGGCAAGAAACTCACACACCTATTTGTTCAAACGAGACTCGAGCCCTCACCTTTCACTTTGGGAGATAAAGGAGAGATATATATTTCATTGGTAAGAAACTTACATACCTATTTGTTCAAACGAGACTCGAGCCCTCACCTTTCACTTCGGGAGATAGAGGAGATACCAATAACTACACAACCTTAGGTTCATGTGGTATCTACTTATTGAATTCTTTTAATTTTTTTATAGGATTCCGTAAGGTTCATATTGTAATAATGACTGAGAAATCATATATATATATATGTATGTACGCATAAAGGTTTGATCCTTTTTTTTGTGAATATTGTTGCAGCTTTACCTCATCCAGAAAACATACCAGTGGCTCTCCTTCACAGCTTATTTGTAAAGGGTGTTCTAATGAATTATGAACTAGCAGAGGATGACTTAGAGGCTTCAAGGCTCTACCCGGATATGAAATACACTACAATTGAACAGCTCCTTGATATTTTTCTCCATAACCCCCCAAAGCCTGCTTCTGCAACATTTGAATGAGCTTCCAAATCTCTTGTTTGCTAATCAAGTGGCATTTTAAACCATGATCTACTTTGTAGTACTCATAATAATATTTGGTTGTGATGTAATAATAAAACCAGGGCAACTAAGTTCAATAATGACCAGTTGAAAGCCAGTATTTTCCTTCAGCTCTCTCTCTCGGTCTCTGTGTCTCTCTCTCACTCACTCACACACACACACAGAACTGCATTGAAGCCAAAATGAGCACTGAAAAAACAAGCAATGTTTATGAATATCTGCAAGACTAACAAGTTGAGCCTAGGGTTGAGACTTGACTCGCTTGAAAATGTCGTTTGAGCTTGGTTTTGAACAAAGTCCGGCATGAAAAAATATTTGTATATTCATCCTTTCTCACATGTTGTTCACGTCCGGTGAAATAAGTTCATCCCGCTCCATTTTCTGAGATGACTGGGAAGAACTTGCATCCATTTTCTGAGATTACTGATTCACATCCAGTGAAAATTGGATCCTAAACCAGAGTATATCCATTTTCTCATCTCAAATGCATAAGGAACCTCTTCTTTGACGCCTGCATCTAGCACTGGCTATCCTCTGCTAGTACAACTAAAGGCCGCTATTCCAATTCCCAACATACTGATACAAACTGCATTAAAACAAACCCTAAGGAACATATATACCATCATATATATATATATATATACGTAAACCAGTCCCTAGTTATCTCTCATGGCATTCTCTAATATTCACTTTGGCATAATGCTTGTCATTCAAAGTAAAACGACCACCTTCTTACCCCCATCCCTCAAGTGGCCATCATCTACTGCACTCCTAAATGCTCACGTCCAACCATAGGAATGGTCCGATCCCCCATATTTCTCCTCGAACCTGGTGATCTCATTAAAGTTGCCAAAACACAGTCATGGAGGTTGTGATTAAGCAGTGAGATACCAGAGCATACCCTTGAGACTCTTTTAATCCTCCATGCTCTTTGATTGTCCTGTCCTTTCCATCTCAAAATCTACAATAGACATGGAATAGCTTCAGATGCATAATGCCATAAGCAGTTTCTAATTCCAATTTGCAGCAAACTGCTTTATTTTTCTAAATCAGAATTCCGTGTTTTACCCTCATCAAAGCGCCCTTCCTTTCTTTCAACTAGTATGTCATCTGAATCGTCGTCTACCCTTGTAATATTTTCATGTCCAGAAAAGAGTTTTTCCTTCTTGACATCGCCTAATTTCTCCATTATATCAGTGTGTACCGACTAACTATGACTATGACATATTTAATGAGGAGTGTTGTGTTAGGTAGCTTGAGAATCAGTGTAAACCTTTTGTCAGGACCAATATGAACATGAATCCATGTCTACTGATTCTACCCACAGCAATAACAAAATTCGGGTAGCATTCATATCCTATGCTGCGTCCTTGAAGGTTTCAAAATTGACTAGTTAATTTTGACAGTAGCCGGCTTCCCAACCAAAACACATATTTCCTTTTACTTTTCAAGTTTTGTGTATCATGTTCATCAATTCTTCTGCATCCTTTACTCATCTTCAGTAAACAACATCCCCCCCTCCCACACACACAAACAAAATCTCCTCAAGTTCATCCAATTCCTACATATCCAATATGAAGGCAGATAAAAAACTTCAAGCAATCTCTCCCACCGAACTCGAGAAATATTCTCACCAGATTATTTTTGAAGAAGAGTGTTCTTTCATGTAGAAAAGTGAAGCAGAGTAACCATGGTTCCAAAGGAAGATCCACTCATCTAAATATAAGCAAAAAAAGTAGGTAGAACAGTGGAAGTTTGGAAGAGAAAGAGAAACTAAAGTTACCGTCAATTTGACATGAATCCATCATCAAATCTCTAGACATATTATGAAACTAAACTTACCGTCAATTTTCTGGTGCTGATGATGTTGAGAGTACTGTAAATTTGAGTAAATTTTGTGTCATAATAAATTTTAAGCAGCAGAAGAGCCCCCAATTTTGAGGGCCAAAATGAAAAACATTTGATGTTTATAGATCTCTATTAAATGATACAAATGTTTCACCAGCATAAGAAATGATGCATTGAACAGACATACATGCACAGGGTATATTAAGCCTTACATTGACCAACGAAGATGGGCTTGTAGTTAATGCTTGAATAATCTTCTTATTTCCTTCTTATTCTTCTTTTTTTTGCGAATTAAGAAGACCATTGCAATTTGCAAGCACTCCAAAGTGAACACCGCTTAAGTGCAAAGATGGTACAATAATGGAGTACAGAAATGGTAAATAGTAAAATATCATAAGCAGTTCACTTGTTAAAAATGCACAAGTACACACACACACACACACACACACACACGCACACACACGTGTACTATAAACACTTTTATTAAAAGAAAAAGAAATCGGTACTTAAATGAAAAAGAGTTCCAACACTAAATGAAAGGTTTGTGTTTACCAATACTCAAGGAAATGATGCACTAGTAATCCACATCCAGATCAGTTTCCTCATTCTACCACGACACAAGGCTGTTGACATGAGGGTAGCAGCTCTTGATCGGAAATCTGCATTCCATGTCAATCTTTTTCATACTTTCGAAATCATAAGCATACAGAGAGCCATCTTTGTCCTCGAAAACTATTTCACCCTTAACTCTTGAACAATAAAGTGGAATCATTTTCATTGAGCAACCTTCTATGATACTATGTTGCTTTATCCAATCTTCCCCATTTAAGCCACTCAAGATCCAAATATCAATATGGCATGTATCTTCATGAGTCATAAAAGAAAGAAGCCCACCCATTTCAACAATCCCATCGTGAGTTCCACATCTTTTCGGGAGAGATGTCTGGTGGAATTTTTCATCATCCGTTATCAAAGATACTAGGTAATTACTGCCATCAATGTGAGGAATCCAATGCAAAGCTCCTATTGCAGAAACTGGGTTGCACCCCAACCATCTAAGAAGTCCAAAAGGAGGTCCATCCACCATCCTCCATGGTCTTGCCCCAAGAATTAAAATTTCACAACCAATGTATCGCATTTCATCCTCAAATAAGTGTATCAATTTATATTGACGTGTAGATTTGCATAATACTAACCCGTATGATTCCTCGTGGGGAGGATGTATCATAGTACCTAAAGGAAGTGCAATCAGCTTCCTAGTCACAGGATTCAGGACAATCAATCCTCTTTTCATTTTGTTATCAAGCAGAATTAAACCATTGCAAGTAGCTCTAATTTCTCCCAAACAAGTCACATTAAACTCTCGTATCTTGCTCTTGCCGTCTTTTATTTCCATGGATTGTATATGGAAGAAATCTGAGCTCGGCTCTATATTTTGTTGCAGAAATAAAGGTAAGAATTGTGATCGAAATAGGCCATCTTCAACAGAGAAAGTGTTCGATGTTTCTTGAGGGACTATAGTTTTAGAATAAGGGTTATGATTTTTTTTTACAGAAAAAAGAAAGATTAAAACCGTTTCAGAGCGATTCAGGTTGTCATCAATGAAAATAGAGCTGTTAACCATCTTATACCATGGCTTACAAACGTAACTCAATCTATGAATCGTTTCAGGAGGAAGTTGCACAAGGATATCATAGATGCATTCTTTTGGAAGATAGGGTGCAAGATTCTCCTTTTGCTTCTTTTTCCCCTTTTTTGACAATGCTCTTTCTTCTACCAACCTTGTTAACCTTGTGCTCTTGTCTGCCATCAACTTACTCGTCATGTCTTTGTAACGAGCATCTAGTAACCATGAAAAAAATTAAAACTGAGAAAATGTACACAAATGATTGTTATTACTAGGATATGAAACACAAAAGACGAAAAATAAATTTCTCTTGGCAATATGATAACAAAGGAAGAATAATAAAATTATAGTATATGCATTATGTAAAAAGTGTTTAGGAATCATAAATAGCTAGTTATGTTTGCGGAACAACTTCCAAGATACACTAGTTTGCCCGAATTAAATGAGCAACCTTCATATCATGTTGATTTCCATCACAGACCTCGTCTCTTCACATATTTGTACATATCATTTTCTGAACCACCACGGTTTCTTGTGTTTTTTACTTTTTACACCATATATGAACTTTTTCGGTTTTTTTTTTTCTTTTAATGGTAAATAGATCTCAATTTCTATGATTTTAGATCTGGTCTCATTATTATCTCCCATAAAAAATTGTGTTGTTTCTAATTTTTTAGGCTTAAATTTCACACAAAATAAATTTGTTATAATTTTGCTACTTTTTTTTTCACACACACATGCCTCCACAGCAGTTCAAACCTTTGACCTCCCTTTTGAGAAGTAGGGGTTTGGTACTGCTAGACTACTGGCCCTTTGGTATTTCGCTACCTTATTTATTAGTACTAGGTCAATATTCTCCTTTTGCTAAAATAGAAAACGAAAGACAAACGAAGGAGAAAATGGACACAATCTTAAGCAGCATGGACTGTGGAGGAATCAGGTTAAGGATGGAAAAAGGGGGAGTGGAATGCATCCTAAATCCATAATGGTTTAGGATGGGGACAGGTTCCCTTTAGGGGGTAGGATAAGTTCGGGGCCGTGCCAAACCTGCCTTCTTCCTAGTGGTGGAGACAGGAATGTACTCTAGAGGGTGACTTTTTCAATGCCCAGAAGAAACATAGGATAATAACATACAGAAATAATTCTTATTACTTAACTAGTGTAAGCGAGAAAGTTATTTAAGAGCAACATTGAAATTATTGGAAAATATACTAAGAAATTAAAATTAAAAAGAAGTTGAGTGGAGGCAATTGGCATCATGGGGATTTTATTGGCTCTCTCAGTTCCGGTAGCCATTCCTAAGTATCAACAATGAGTGCTGAAGAAAAAACCTTTGAGACTGTCAACAAGGATTTAACATAACACGGATATTAAAATTATAATTTCTTTAACAGCGATTCCCGCAAAGCATAATTTTATTTTATAGTTTACTTTAAGCAATCATACACCAAGATGCTTAGATTTAGTACATTATTTATGTGACAAGAAATCAATCACCTCATCAAATTATTGGAATACATTTAGAACCCACACTAATGAATATACACGAACTTCCCAAGGATATTGAATTTCAGTTCACTGATGAAGAATTTGATTTCCCTGATAACCGACAAAACGAAAGGAGTTCAAAGCACCAATTGCGAACAAAAAGGTAAGAGATTGTATAAATAGAGTATGAAAAGCATATTATGGCAGTTCACTATGCAAGACCACTGCAAAAGTAACTTCTATGAGACAAATATGAACTCTTCGACTGAAAGGCTTATATTTTTCAACATATATCAACCTCAATTGAACAAGAATTAATTAGCAGTTGACTTAGGACCAAAATAGCAAGATTGTGTATGACCCTTTTGGCCTATGCTATACCCTAGTTTTGGAGGACGCTTACATCTAGGATCTGCTTTCCTCAAAAACCAGAGTTCAATGGGTCATAAACACTTGCATTAATCGATCAACAATTTTCTTCCATGCTTTAAAACTGCTCAAAAAGCGGCTGATACTGACGCATCGATAATAGTTCCAAGGAATTTCATATTTCATAATAATGATATTCTTAAAAACTAAACATTGAAGCAGGGCCGGCCCTGAGATTCCAAATATTTTGAGAGGCCCTAGGCGAACTTTCAAATGTGAGGCCCTTGAGTTTCACAAACGCAAAAAAGAATTATAAGAGTGCGAAATTTTAACATGATGTTTTTAAATTCTATAGCTAATATAATTGTGCCCCTGTGCATTGTGCATAAGACAACTAACTAATAACTATAAATTTATCACCGCCAACAAATAATTGTGCGCCTATATAGTGTGCATAAAACAACTAACTAATAAGCATAAATCTATCACCACCAATAAATAATTGTGCACAGTGTGCTTAAGACAACTAACTAATAACTATAAATTTTTGTCACCACCAATAAATAATTGTGCGCATGTGCAGTGTGCATAAGACAACTAACTAATAACAATAAATTTATCAATTAAAGAGTGTGAAATTTTCATAGGCACAAAATAAAAAATGAAAGAGAACAGAAAACTGCAGCTTCTTTTACATTCATTGTTTATATAGCTACTAAAATTTGATGATTACATATGACAACAATATGTGGTGATGAGGTGACTATATATATATATAGGAGGCTGAACTTGTAGTACTGAAGAAGTAGTGGGACTTTTAGGTTATATGTGTCATCCGTTATCATATACTACAGTTTTGTCTTTCACTCTTTATATTAACTACACTACTTTGTGTGCGTGTTTTTTGGGAGCCAATTACCCGCAGTGATTGATTGATCATTGCCACAGAAGACCTGTGCAAATTAATAGAAAAAACCATTAACTTTTGTTTTGTTAAAGCCTGCTCTTGATTTCCATGTGTTTGTACATTCTGTTGGCAAGTGCTTTGACAGTATTATTAACTGAAATTCTAGCTGAGCCAACTTCAAATAACATCAATAATGGTTGTATGTATCTTCATATAAAAATAAAATAAAAAATAAAAAATAAAAACCCATAATTTGGCACTTTTAAGTATGAGCATAATTTAGAGATCGAAAAAGTTGATTATTATCTCAACCCACTAGAAGAGATCCTTAATTTTCGTGGGATTGAATGTGAAAACGCAAAAAAATATGAGGAAAAGGGGTATGGTTGCTGCTGTTGTGAGATTGGAGTGGACTTAGGGAGAGGGAAAAAAAAAAAAAAGTACCTGCCATAGATTATGGACTCGATCGCCATGAAAGACACATGTAGAAAGGCACACATTTATTAAAATACTAAGAGAACCATAATATATTCATTCAGCTTTTGATAGCCATCACACACAGTGACACACACAAAACCCTAGCTACTTTTCATTATTGGAACAAAGGTAAAGGCCCGAATGAAACGAACCAAAGTTAGAACAAATCAAATGATGAGATGAAAGAAAGAAAGAAACATATATTAAAGATCGATTCATGCAAAAGGAGAGAGAAGAGAGAGAGAGGATGAACATACCTTGTCACCTGAGGAGATAGCGGAGGCTGCGCCCTGCGGAGTGTCGAAGCAGATTGTGTCGTCTGAAACTTGCCCTAACTTTTTTTTATTTTTTATTTTTTACATCCCCTATGGGCCTCAAAATTTGAGGCCCACTAAAATCTGAGGCCCAAGGCGACCGCCTTGGTCGCCTTGGGCCAGGGCCGGCCCTGCATTGAAGGAGGACAATATGAAGCAGCAGAAATTGGGTTGGATTAGCAAGAAATTCAAGAAGTGAATCTCCAAAACTTGAGGAAACTTGAGAAATTGGGTTAGAAGAAACTGCCTACCTCCAAGACTTTTTTTTTTTTTTTTTCGTCATTTCGGATTCTGCTGCTTCCGGTAGTCATTATCTCCAATTCAAAAAGGTAGAAGAATCCACGTAGCAATGGATTCCTGTAGTCATTATCTGCAACTTTGATTCTTACCCATTAACCATTGGGTAATTCTATTCAACCCTTACTTCAAAAAATTAATAAATAAAGAAAATAATTTTATTTTTGGGAATAAATTCAATCAATCTACAAGTGTTATTCATTCTAAAATGTGTAAATTGTAATCATAATAATAATATAAAATGTTAACCTATTCAACTTCTTGTATTAAAAATAAAAAATTTATTTAATTGAAAAAAATAGATATACAAAGGCGTAGAGAGTTATTATTTGACAATAATAACAAAAGAAAAATAATTATAAAAAAAAACTTCTTGTATTTAACAATGATAAAAAAAATGTTAAGATATTCAACTTCTTGTATTAAAAGCAAAAATAACATTTTGATTAAAAAATTGAAAAAAAAATGCACATAAACATTAAAAAAAACTTACACTTTTATAAGCGGTATAAATATATACATATATATAATGCATTTAAAATAATATAAAATAATATAAAAATAATATTAGAACTCGATTTTGGGTTCAACTTTCTCTAATTGTAAAGTTCCTTATCCAAATTTATGAAAAATTGGGCTGCGCTTGCCTGTTCAAGTTGCACACACATGGTAAAGTTCACATCTGATTCTTTCTTTTAATTTGATTCATATATATGTGTGTGTGTGTGTCATGTGTGTTTTTACTAATATGCATGTGTTTGTCAATTTGGGCCAGGGTTGGCAATTTCGGTTTGAATATGGATTATTTATTTATTTATTTATTATTATTATTTTTTTTTTTTTTATGTCATTCAAAGGTACAAAAGTCAAGATGGCAGTACAGAAGTATAAAACCAAGCTAGTCATTCAAAAGCACAAAAGCTAAAAACAAAGATAGCAGCGCAAAGGCATAAAGCCAAGTTAGAAAAGGCATACAAAAAAATCTTATGATGTGTCAACAATTCAACGCGATCTATCCTTTCAAAATTATGTAAAAAAATCTTTTTAGGCCTGAATTACACTATACTAAAATCAAATTAAGAATTTCAAAAAATGAGAAAAAATAATTAGAAAAGTAAAAACTTTTTAAATCTTAGCTCTGTTTGGTAAGAAGGAAAAAAATTGAATGGAATGTTGAGTAGAAAAAACTGACAATTTAAATTGATCGGATAAAAGAAAAGATTAATTTTTAAGTTTATTTTTATCATTAAACCCATTCCTTACTTTATTTATGAGATTTATTAAATATTTATAAAGAGTGATGTACTTTATTTATGGGATTTATTAAATATTTATAAAGAGTGATGTAGTAATTTAAAACTCCTATAATAGATTCACTTGTCTTATCTCTTATCTTCTGTCCATATTTGGACAGATGAAAATTTGTGAAGGAGTAATTCATCCTTTCTTAATATTATCTTTAGCAACGAATGATCATATTTTCCTTTTACCCCTCTTCTTTCCTTTTAGGGTGTTTATTGTTTCTATTATCCTTTCTTTTCTAATATCATCTTTATCAAATAAAGGATCATATTTTTCTTTCGCTCCTCTTCTTTCCTTTTAGGGTATTTATTTTCATTTATTTATTTTTTTATAAAGAATTTGGCAGAGATAAATATAGTTTTAGAACTGCTCTTTAAAACAAAACGTGTTAAAGTTATATATAATAATAATTATAAATAATATGATGATAATCAAGATATCTTATCAACTTCTCAGTAATCTATGAAGTGCAAAATTGTACTCATTCCACCATGGATGTATGTTTTTTTTTCCTTCTTCACAACATCTGATGGCCTAGATAAATAGGCACGAGAGAAAGTGTTGATTAATTAGTGTTGGGATTTAAGTTTGAGAATATTCAGACAGCATCCTGTTAAGACTTAAGATTACTACTAAGCATGTTATTACTATTGCTAATTATAGGACTGCAAATGAGGCCAGCAATAGTGCCTTTTAGCTATTCGAGCTGGATCTTGAGTTTGGCTGTCAATGTCTTGGTCGAACTCGAGCTCATATAATAGTCTTCGACCTCAATAGTATGATCAATTTCAATCTCGAAGTCGATCTCAAACTCGAGTGTGAGATCAAGACTGTTAAAAATAAATTTTAATTATAAGCTTGGTCTTATCTAGCTTGTTCATGAATATCTATTCGTGAACCAGATCATTCAGGACTCGACTCAATTAAATAAGTTTAAAGTTTTAAGAATATGAACTTGAGCCAAACTTTAATCAAAGCAAGGCCGTTCCAACGATCATATATCAAGAATATACCCACCCATATATATATATATTATAATTTTTTTAAAAACCAAACAAACAAAGAAAAAAGATACCAGTAATGTATATGGCAGCAGTTCGATGACAAAAGCAAATCAATTTGGTTCGACAAATGACCAAAGGCTTTCAAAAATTTTAAGTCTTTTGTTTACAAGGCGTAAAATATCTCAATGAAAAATTGTTTTTTGTAATTCTATATGCAATCAAACACGGAATTATCTGGGAGTGGCCTCAAGAAGATTCAAATTCCCGACCTCCACGTAGTCCAGAGTTTTTGCCGTTAGGCTATTTCTCAAGAATTTTTTTTTTTTTTTTTTGGGTTAAATCATAAATCACTAATTCAATACTAAATCTTCAAGCGCATAGACTAGCCAAATAACTACTCTCTCCATAGTTGTTCACTGTGACTCAAAATATTTTGTAACAACTATTTTGGGACAGAGGTAATACTAAACAGTACTATACCTTTATTCAATCAAAAGATTTTGATCATTGGGAGATCTGGCAGGGTACTTGGAGTACAAATTCTCTACTTCATATCAAGAAATAGCTAAACACATCATGAAGTGACAATATAAAATCCATACCATTCTTTCTATTGATGCCTCCACTTCTCTTTGATCACAATACTTCCAGGCTTTGGAATCTGCAGTGCTAAAAGAAGCCCACAGTGGAATTAAAGAAGAAAATAAGCTCAGGTTGGTACTAAAAAGTAATGAAATAATATCTTACACATTAAAAATAAAAAAATCTCTTACACCTCACCAACTGCAGATATGGCTAATCTCCTTTCTCCTAACATGATGTTGCGAAGAAGATGAACTATCTTTAACGACCCTTGATCGAGTTCGAGACACACTGATACAAACTACTTCAGAACAAGAGCCAAGGAACATGTATGCCATCATATGTATACCAGTCCCCTAGTCCTCTCTAGTCCCCCTCTCACGGCGTTGCCACATAAAATGACCACCTACTTGCTCGCATCCCTCAACTGGCCGTCATCAACTGCAAATTTGCAATCCTAAACGCTCACATCCTACCATAGCACAGTCATGGAGGCTGTAATTATGCAGTGAGATGCCGAAGCATACCCTTAATTGAGACTCTTCTAATCCTCCATGCTCTTTGACTAGATGCAAGCTGGAATACCTTTACACACAACAAGCCGAGTCCTCCTAAACTTCCTCTATTGCCAAACCCTAACCAGTTTCTAATTCAAATTTGCAGCACAATGCTTTATTTTCTACCATCTGACTCGTCTACCCTTTTGATTTTTCCATGTCTGATGTTTAGTAAGGAGGGTTGTGTTAGGTAACTTGACAATATGAACATAGATACATGTCTACTGACTATACCAGAGAGATTCCTTCTTGACATTCCTAATTTCTCCACAGCAATAACAAAAATGGGGAATCATTTCTATGCTTTGTTCTTTAAGGTTTCAAAACTGACTAGTTTTGACAGTAGCATTTCCCATCACATATTTCCTTTTCGTTTCAAGTTTTCGCAATTATGTTCATCAGTTCTTCTGCATTTTTCCTCATCTTCCGTTAACACCATTCCCCTCCACACACATACTCGGCTTAACAATCTCTCTAGCAAAACTCCAGAACATTCTCACCACACACACATATACATATAAATATATATATATATTTGACGAAGAAGACACTTGCGTGAATGGTTCCGTAGAAGGACAAATACTATCCACTCATCTAAATATAAGCAGAAAAGGTAGGTAGAACTATGAAAGCGAAGGGGAAACTAAACTTACCATTAATTTGACATGGATCCATCATCGAATCTCCTAACATTTTATGAAGATCCAAATTTTTCTTGACCTTCTAAAAACTCCAAACCAATAGGTCATATCGTCCTTAACGTCTCACTATTTTAGCATTAGAAATTTGTGTTTGTCTTTTTATCCACAAATTGCACTCCAAGAAGATACTGATTGTAGAAGAACAAGTGTGCAAAATTAGTATACTACTACGACATCGCAAAAGCTGAATACTCTTTCTGACGATCTGCCATCGTTTATTGCTGTTACCTTAATACTCCGTGTGTGTGCACACACACACACATATATGAAGAAACCAGAGTTGAGCAAGTTGGTATAAGAACTGGTAAAATGGGGGTGGTGGGTTGGTTCTATGTTATCATGCTAATAATAGAGAAATTTCTTCTGCTGTTGATGATGTTGAGAATAGTGTAAATTTGAGTAAATTTGTGTCATAATAAAAATTAAGCAATTAAAAAAACCCCAATTTTGAAGGCCCAAATGAAAAGACGTGTTGTTTATAGATCTTGATCCAATGATACAAATATTTCACCGCCACAAGAAAAGATACATTGAACACATGCACATGATGTATCAAGCCTTACATTGACCAACGAAGATTGGCTTGGAGTTAATGCTCGAATAATATTCTTATTTTCTTTTGTTGCCACTAAGAAGACCAATTGCGAGCATTGCAAAGTGAACACAGCTTAGGTGCAATCATGGTAGGGTATAGAAATGGTAAACAATAAAATGTCATAAGCAGTTCACTAGTTCCAATTTCCAAATGCACTAGTATATACACACACGCCCCCACTGTAACACGTAATTAAAAGACAAAAAAATCAGTACTTAAATGGAAAAGTGTTCCGACACTAAATGAAAGGTTTATCTTTACCAATACTCAAGGAAAGAGGCACTAGTAATCCACGTCCAGATCTTTTTCCTCAATCTGCCACGACGCAAAGCTGTCAACATGAGGGTAGCAGTAGCTGATGAGGACCGGACATCCGTTTTCCATGTTAACCTCTTTCATACTTTCAAAATCATAAGCATACAGAGAGCCATCTTTGTCCATGAAAATGATTTCACCCTTAACTCTTGAACAATAAAGAGGAGTCATTTTGATTGAGCAACCAACTGTGATACTATGTTGCTTTATCCAATCTTGCCCATTTAAACCCCTCAAGATCCAAATATCAATATGGCTTGTATCTTCATGAGTCATAAAAGAAAGAAGCCCACCCATTTCAACAATCCCATCGTGAGTTCTACTACGTTTCGGGAGAGGTGTCTTGTGGAATTTATCATCATCTGTTGACATAGATACTAGGTAATCACTACAATCAATGCGAGGAATCCAATGCAAAGCTCCAATTGCAGAAACTGGGTTGCACCCCAACCAACTAAAAAGTCCAAAAGGAGGTCCATCCACCATCCTCCATGATCTTGCCCCAAGAACAAAAATTTCACAACCAATGTACCGCATTTCGTCCTGAAATAAGTGTATCAATTTATATTCACGTGTAGAATTGCATAATACTAACCCATATGATTCCTTGCGGGTAGGAGATATAGTACCTAAAGGAAGTGCAATCAGCTTTTTAGTCAAAGGATTCAGGACAACCAATTTTTTTGTTCATATTGTAACCAAGCAGAATGAAACCATTGCAAGTAGCTATAATTCTTCCCAAACAAGTCACATGAAAGTCTCGTATCTTGCTCTTACCATCTTTTATTTCCATGAAATTTATACAGAACTCTGGTCTCGGCACTATATTTAGTCGCTGAGATAGAGGTAGGGATTGTGATTGAACAAGGTTAGCTTCAACAGAGAAAGTGTTTGATTTTTCTTGAGGGATTGTAGTTTTAGAACAAGGGAAGTGACTTCCAGTGAGAAAGATTACAACAGTTTCAGCGCGATGGAGGAAGGCATCAATGAAAAAAGAGCTGTTAATCATCTTATACCATGGCTTACAAACAGACATCGACCTTTGAAGAGATTCAGGAGGAAGTCGCACAAGGATACTGCAGATGCAGTCTTTTGAAAGATGGGGTACAATTTTCTCTTGTTGCTTGTTTTTCTCCTCCATTTTTGACAATGCTCTTTCTTCTACCAACCTTGTCCTCTTGTCTTCCATCAACTTATATGTCTTTGTATTGAGTCTCTCTGGTAACCATGAATAAATTAAAAGTGAGAAAATGTACAAAAATGATTGTTATTACTAGGATATGAAACAAAAAAGACAAAAAAATAAATTTCTACTGGCAAGATTATAACGAAGGAAGAATAATAAAATTATGTATATCTATTATGTAAAAATAGTTAGGATCTTAAATCGCATCCAAGATACATTAGTTTTCCCTAATTTAATGAGCAACGTCCATATCACGTCAATCTCCATCACAGGACTCCTCCTCTTCATATTTTCATATATATCCTTTTCTGAACCACCACGCGCGGTTCTTGTGTTTTTAACTTCTTAAACCATACATGAACTTTTTCGTTTCTATTTTTTTAATGGAAAATGGATCTAAATTTCTAAGATTTTTAGATCTGGTCTCATTATTCCTACTAAAAAATGTGTTATTTCTAATTTAATTTAACAATAAGAAATTTGTTTTGCTATTTATTCATTAGTACTAAGCCAAAATTCTCTTTTTGCTAAAATAGAAAACCAAAGACAAACAAAAGAGAACATGGACACATTTTTAAGCAGCACAGAGTGTGGAGAAATCAGGATAAAGAGCCCTTTTGCAGAAGGAGGGCGTGGAATGCATCCTAAATACATAATGGTTTAGGATGGGGACAGGTATCCTTTAGAGGGTAGGATAAGTTCAGGGGCTGTGCCAAACCTGTCTTCTTGCCAGTGGCGGAGCCAGGAATGTACTCTAGAGGGGGACTTTTTCAAAGCCCAGGAGGAACGTTGGATAATAACATACGCAAATAATTCTTATTACTTCACTAGTGTAAGCGACAAAGTTATTGAAGAGCATATATTAGTTTTACGCTCATGTGTAGAGTTTTGGGTTTGAATTTTGAATATTTGTAAATTAGAACACATTTATCGTTTTCAATATGTATTGGCTGGAGGCCCAAAGACGATAACCGTGGTGAAGAATAAAGAGGTTTTGGAAATTTTAAGGGGGCAACAAACCTGAAAAGAAGTTGAGTGAGGGAGGCAATTGCCATCATGGGGATTTTATTGGCTCTCTCTGTGCCTGTTTCCATTCCTAAGTATAAAAAATGAGTGCTCAAGAAAAAACTTTTGAGACTGTCAACAAGGATTTTAACATAGCATGGATATTAAAAATATAATTTATTTAACAGCGATTCCAGCAAAACATAATTTTATTTTATAATTTACTTTAAGCAATCATGCACCCAGATGCTTAGATTTAGTACACTATTTAAGTGATAAGGAATCAATAATCTCATCAAATGATTGGTATACATTTAGAACCAGCAATAATGAAATTTGCAAACTCATTTCTACTAGAAATGTACACGAACTTCCCAAGAATATTGAAATTCAGTTCACTGATGAAGAATTTGAAATTCCTGACATATCTGGAAAGCAAACACTTTAATTGTTACTAATTGGAAAAGCCACCTAGAGTAATCACAATTCTGCTTGTCAAGGTGTACTGATCGACAAAATGAAAGGATGAAAGACCAAAGCAGCAATTGTGAGCAAAAAGGCACGAGGTTGTATAAATAGAGTATGAAAAGCCTACCATGGCAGAGGAATTCTTGAAAGGAAAGGTGCATTAACATGAAAAAAATAACATTAACAAAAGGAATTGGCAGAACCAGGCACATAATCATAAGGGAAAACAAAATGAATAATATAAAAATAACAACCTAGTGAAATAAAATAACCATTGATGAAAGCTAAAGATCTTCCCTCTCTTTTCTATAAGTAGGACACACTCCAGCTTACACAGGCAACATATATATGAATATATATATATATATATATATATATATATATATATATATATATATATAATGTACAGTCCTAAAGCAGTTAAAACAAGGTAATTACTGAGAGAACTTACTTTTCTTGCAGGCTAGCCTAAACCCTAAAAAAAAAAAAAAAAAATTTTAAAAAATAATAATATCAAAATTTTCCTAAATAGAAAAGGTTTTAGTTGTTAATAATATTACTGCAAGAACATCGTTCTTATTTTAAGTTTTCAATAATCTAAAATCCCAGAAACCAGCTTGTTGTGGAATGAAATTGAAACTAAAATTACCTATCATGTAAACAAAAAAATTCTAAAATCCTCATGAAACCATGACCTATCAAAGAATTAACTAAGACATGTTAGTTTCTCTGGAATCATCATGCGAGTTTAATTAAGTTGTTGTATTAACTCCACAAAGGATCATACCAACCAATAAATCTAGAACAACAAAACAGTAATAAATCATCACACCAACCAACCATGCCAATTAAACATTTTAACCAAGAAAGAAAGAACAGGATAGAGAATTAAAAGGAATATTGTGAAGGAAAAACTACATACACATACATACATACATACATACATATATATATATATATATATATATATATATATATATATATCAGTAAAGGAATGAGAGGGTTAAATTACCTGAAAGTTTTCCCACAGATATATATACTGTAGTCGGCAAAAATCTGTCTTGCCTTTCGCTGTAAATTTCATTGTAGTGCAAAATTCTATAATACTATATTGTAGAATATCAAGCGTATATATGGTGTCACGTTGATCTTTGCTTGACTGTGTGTCACAAACCCACTTCTTCGATCTGGTTTTGTTTCTGAGACGGGAAAAATTAGGGTTACAACTCGAGATGATTGGGACGGTCGGAGGTACACGCTCGAGGCCAATCTAACGGATGAAACCCACTCCTTTTATCCAATTTTGATTAGGGAGTAAAAGTAGGGTTACAAGCCAATCGAATTGGGTTGGCGGGCTCGAGTCCAATCCTTAAAAAAAAAAAAAAAAAAAAAAAAAAAAGAAAAGAAAAGAAAAGAAAGAAAGAAAGAAAAAGAAAAAAAGAGGTTAATTTTACCTACACCTCTTACGTTTGTCCATATTTCACTGACATCTCTTTTACGTTTTAATATTCCACCGACCTCCCTTAAAGTTTTAGTTTGTGTAGCAAATTACCCCTGTCGTTAAGTAGCTCACGGTGTGTGCTAATGTCAGCATTAGCAAATTGTTAAAAAGTCAATTTTATCGTTCTAATGTCTAAAATGACATCTTTAACCTCAGTTCACCAATACGCAATTATAAAATTGTCCTTAATCTGTTAACTCAAATGTATAAGAATACCTTACCTTTCACTTCATTATATATATATATATATATATATATATCATCTTCTTCCTTCCACACATAAATCCATTAATTTAATTAAAAAATAAAATTTTAATTTTAATAAATTTAAATGGTGCAATTAAATTTAATTTCTTTTTAAATTTTTAATTACATTATATTTTTCAGTTTGCCCAAGGGTAGAGGCTTATATAATAGTCCTGTTAATCATCAATGAATAAAAATTTCGTCCATGAATAATGATCATTCGATATAACTGTAGTTGAATTTTGGTTGGATACATGCATACACAGTGTACTTTTTGTCCAAGCATAAACTGGCCAACCTCCACTTAAGATACTTTTTGTCCCTTGAATAATTGTGCAATGTACATGCCATCACGTGGGTGATGTTATATACCATTACATATATATATATATATATATATATACCAGAAAGTCAAGATCGAGGGTTCCGGCACCGACGATGTTGATCAACAGCGCAATGTTGGAGAGGCTGTAAAGGTTGGGTCCGGTCTCCCGTCGGAGCACGAGATGTTGATTTTTACCGCCGATTACGATGCCATCGAGCCTTTCGGATGGTGACAAAGTTACAGAGCTAGGCCGAATTCTTCTGCAGAGCTCTGGCGTGTCTATGGCCGTTTTGAATTGGGTTTCACCGAGGTGGGTTGAGGAATCTCTGCTCGCCGGACTGAACTAGGTTTGGTCGAACTTAGTTCGTTCTAGCTTTGAGAACGACTGAATCGCTGAATTGGGTTTCGCATAACTACATCGCTGCTGGCCGGACTGAAAAAGGAGGAATCCTTAGTTCAGTCCAAACACCGGACTTCAACTCCGTCGAATCTATGGCCGTGTACTCACCGTCGTAACGCTGAACAAGAACGAGGTAAGCCGGATCAAAGACAACGGCGGCGAAGTTCACAGCTACCTCGACCGAGTTCAGTCCGGCGATCCCAAGTCCGATGAAGGTCAGTTTAGTCAGGTGGCCTCGCCGGCAACGCTGAAGAAGAAAGGGAAAAAAATAAAAAATAAAAAAATATATATATATATATAATGTGTGTGTGTGAGGAGAGAGAGAGAGAAATTTAATTTAAACTGAGGGCTTAAAAGTCTTTTTCATTAAGTTATAAATTTTAATATATAATTCAAGAGTAAAACAGTAAAATCACACATTTCCGTTAGCAAATTAAACGGTGGTTACTGACAGGGGGTGTAGGTGAAATTATGAAACGTAGAGGAGTGTACGTGGAATATAAATAAACGTCAGGAGGTATAGGTGGAATTAATCCAAAAAAAAAAAAAAAAAAAAAAAAAAAAAAAAAAGTTCAATTTTAACTATTCAACTATAACCCAATTTATTCTTCTATTTTTCACAAATTAAATACAAATTTGAGTTAGAAAGAATTTAAATTTGTATTAATTGTATGCCCAATCATCACATGAAAATTTTAAAATAATCTTAAGTTAATTTTATATTAAATTATTCTTAAATAGAAAATATTTTTAAATTTTTTGCAAATTTTTAATAAATTATAAAGAATTTTTTAGAAAATTTATTTGTTTAAGTTTTAACATATGATAAATTAAGATTTAAATAAATGAAGTTAAAATGAAAAAGGTAATCATGAGTTGAATATTTACATAAAATGTTCAAAAACTTTTAAAAAATATTTTTTTTATAGTTAGAAGTAATAAATAATAATATATTGTAATACAAATAAAATATTTAAAAAGATGTGAAAAACTCAATTCATATATAATTTAATTAAAGTAAGGTATAAAGAATAAATTTAATTTTACTTATAACTAAAACAACACATCATCAATAGTGTTTTCTATGTTTGAGGCATATTTGGAGTTGCAAATTGAAGGTAGAGAGAATTCACGTCAGACCATTTGTCTGGTCCACGTAAACGAATGAATAATGCAATTTGTTTTTGATTAAATAGATAATATTACTAATTCAATACTAAAATTTGTCCGCACATGAAATTATCAAATTATTACTCCCGTCTAAAAATAAATAAATGTTCACCTTTTATTATTTATTTTTTTTTTTTTTATGTTCCAAAAATGTAGATATGACAATCTTCCGACACCTCTCCAACTGTAGATATGGCTCTCTCCTTTCTCCTAACATCATGTTATTGTCATGAAGCTGATCGTCTTCTCTAGCCGAACAATTGCAAGGCACTATGTCACACCCCGCTACCAAGAGGCTATGCCACGCAGACGCCCAGCAGACGATGACATGGAGCCTGCATGGATTGGAGCTTTCTAGACTTCTCTACACAAGTATGGAACTTTTCGGAATTCTCTAGATTAGTGTGGAGTTGTCTAGCCTTTTCTAGACTTGTCTAGAGTTGTCTAGAATTCTCTAGACTTGTCTTGTACATAGTAGATAGTTCTAGAGTTGTGTAGATATTTCTGGAGGATTCTAGATACTAAATCTAGGCCACACATTTGTACACATCTAGAATGTTCTTGTAAGGCCAAAGGCCTATAAATAGGAGGTGGGAGTTCATTTACACCTCACCAAGCAACCAAGTTGTAATCTCTCCTCTCAAGTAATACAAGTTCTATACATTCCCAAACTCTCTTGCTCACTTGCCTAACCTCTTCCTACACACCCAAGTAAGCAAAACACTTGTCTAGCCTTAGTCTTCACTAAGCTAGCACACTCGGGTAGGCTGACTTAGCGCTTCAAGGGGGCTTGAAAGTGTCTAGGGCCGCACGGGAGCTTGAAAAGGTTCAAGTCCGTGACAACTAGCTCTGCAACATCAGCATTCCTTTCATTTCGAAGACCTTCTTGGCTCAAAATGAGATCACAAGAGCTCATAATGTCCGGGTATGGATGCTACATGAACATAAAACTTACCGTGTGTCTCAAAATCCACTGGTATACATATACATCAATGCTCAATTGTGCCAATGTTTTATAGCAGCAATTGAACAAATCATATAATCTTACACGCTAGTTCTTGACTGCTATTAGAATCATAGGCTACAACACGATTCAGGCGCTCCCATCAGTAGCATATTCGAAAGGTCTTAACAAAATGCTTCCCATTGATGCTGCGAGTGTATATTCCATCCAAATTTTAGTTTCAGAAGAAAAAAACCTCCGTTTGTAGAGCAACAAAGACGGACGTGCAGTCAATGGTCGAATAATATTCACATTTCCTTCTTATTTTTTTATTTTGTTGCCATTAACGAGACCATTGCAAGCACTCCAAAGTGAACACAGCTTAGGTGCAGACATGGTACAATAACGGAGTACAGAAAACGTATACAATAAAATGTTATAAGCAGAATACACACACCGTAACACGTTATTAGAAACACAAAGAAACCAGTACTTACATGGAAAATGTGTTCCGACACTAAATGAAAGGTTTATATTTACCAATACTCGAAGGAAAATATGCACTAGCAACCCAAATCCTTTACTTATTCCTCGATCTGCCATGAAACAATGCTGTTGACGTGAGGCAGATAGCGGCCATAGATCCGGAATTCCTTTTCCAAGTCGACCTTTTTCATGCGTTCGAAATCATAAGCATACAGAGAGCCATCTTTGTCTTTGAAAATGATTTCATCCTCAAGTCTTGAACAATAAAGAGGAATCATTTCCATTGAGCAACCTGCTGTGATACTATGTCGTTTTATCCAATCTTCCCCATTCAAACCACTCAACACCCAAATATCAACATGGAATGTTTCTTCATGAGTCATAAAAGAAAGAAGCCCGCCCATTTCAACAATCCCATCGTGAGTTCCACTACATTTCGGGAGAGGTGTCTTGTGGAATTTTTCATCATCCGTTGACATAGATACTAGGTAATCGCTTCCATCAATGTCAGGAATCCAATGCAAAGCTCCAATTGCAGAAACCGGGTTGCACCCCAACCAACTAAAAAGTCCAAAAGGAGGTCCATCCACCATCCTCCATGATCTTGTCCCGAGAACGAAGATTTCACAACCAATGTACCCCATTTCGTCCTCAAATAAGTGTATCAATTTACATTCACGCGTACAATTGGATAATACTAACCCATATGATTCCTTGTGGGGAGGACATATAGTACCTAAAGGAAGTGCAATCAGCTTCTTAGTCACGGGATTCAGGACAACCAATTTTCGGTTCATTTTGTTATCAAGCAGAATTAAGCCATTGCAAGTAGCTCTAATGTTTCCCAAACAAGTCACATTAAAGTCTCGTACCTTGCTCTTACCGTCTTTTATTTCCATGAATTGTATATAAGACTCTGATCTCCGCACTACATTTAGTCGCTGAAATGGAGGTTCGAGGGATTGTGATTGAAAAATGTTAGCTTCAACAGAAAAAGTGTTTGAATTTTCTCGAGGGATTGTAGTTCTAGAATAAGGGTAAAGATTTCTTTTTAGTGCAAGAAAGATTAAAACGGTTTCAGAGCGACGGAGGTGGGCGTCAATGAAAAAAGAGCTGTTCACCATCTTATACCATGGCTTGCAGACAGACTCCAACCTTTGAAGAGATTCGGGAGGAAGTCGTACAAGGATACTGTGGATGCATTCTTTTGGAAGTTGGGGTACAACATTCTCTTGTTGCTTCTTTTTCTCCTCCATTTTTGACAATGCTCTTTCTTCTACCAACCTTACTAACCTTGTGCTCTTGTCTGCCATCAACTTACTCATCATGTCTCTGTAATGAGCCTCTGCTAACCATGAAAAAAATTAGAAGTAAGAAATGTACAAAAATGATTGTTATTAACGAAGGAAGAATAGTAAAATTATGTATATGCATTAGGTAAAAAGTGGTCAGATCATAGATCGTTAGTTATGTTTCCTTACTAATGACTATTTTAAGATTGCAAAAATGTCGCCATCAATTTTCACTTTTCAGTTTTCACTCATTTCCACACACCTGAACTTAAAATTCACATTCATCTATGGTGTTATGTGAAAACAACCCCTTAATCCAAGCATCACTAAAGCAAATTTAAGCCATATATGATGTCTTGATGCTTTGAAATCTAAAAGTTTCAGAAAATATGCATAAAACATCCTCAACTAAATAGTACTCAAGAGTTTATCAAAAAATTTCCTAAGTATTTGTTGATAACGTTACTCCAAGAACTTATTTCATATTTTATGATTTCAAGAAATTAAAGAGCTAACTAAGGACATGTTAATTAGTTGCTCATGCGAGTTTAATTCCAAAGGATCATCACACCAACCCGAATCATGACAAAGAAAGAAAGAACATAATAGATATTTAATGGAATATTATGAAAGAAAAGCGATATATATATTTATATCTATCAGTGAAAGAATGAAATGGGTGAGTTAAATTACCTGAAAGGTGAAAACACAGAGTGAGATTGTGAGTGTGTGTTTCAGAAAACAGTTTGGCCCTTTGAAATTGATCGATTCGTACTTTTTTAATTCTTAAGCCGGCAAAAAGTTGTGTTAGCTTTTGCTGTACATTTCATTGTAGTGGAGAAGTCGATGATACAGTCTTGTAGTGTAGTAAGCGTTACATAGTTATTAATAATTATTAATGTTATTGGGAAAAAAAAAATTATTAATGGTAATTTTGTATAAAAAATTAATGTTGGCCCCTCAAATTTTTCTAAAAAAAAATATTAATGATAATTATTTATAGTTATTAATAGTGATTTTGTATTGAAAAATTAAAGTTAACCTCCAATTTTTATTTTATTTTATTTTATTTTATTTTTAAATTCCCATTATAGTTTACCCATATATGAAAAATAAAGGAGGTTTGCCAAATACATTACTTGTAACCCACTTCAAAGCCTTTAGTCTTGCTTTTAAAATTCAAATTTAATAAAAAGAAAGTGTTGCAATCCATTTTACAATATTTTGGTATTCTATTTATGTATACACATATAAAAATTATTTTGTATGATTTAAAAAGAAAATAAAAAGAATGATCAGACAATTGACAGTCTCATTTATGGTGGTTAATTTTTCTCAACATTTTATAAATTTAAATTTAGAAGATGATTTAAATTATATAAATTAATCTTCTAGATTAATTGAACAATAAAAAGCCAGAATTTGCATTATTAAATTTATCTTAGCTATATTATTTTTTCGGTTAATCTCAATACTTGTCCATTTCTCCAGATGACAAGTGTAATGCATTTGAGTGAAAGTCTCTCTACACTAGCAGAAATTTTGAGTTCAAACATGTTAGAGAGAGAGAGCAAAGACAATGAATGAATGAGAGAGACTAGAGAAAATGTAATGACAATTACTTTTGTGTCCTTTCATCTTGTAGATTTATTTACCCTTAACATATGACATGAAATGACTCAATTAAATTATTCTATAAAAAAATTTGTTAGAATAAAATAACCCTTTTATTTGAGTGCAACATATATAAATATAACTAATATTATTTTATATAATTTTTCATTTGGATATTTAATTAGATATTATATGCGTATTACATATGAATTTAATCTGAAAATCATAAAATCTCCCAAATTATATATTTATAGGTACACACTAAAACATAGTTGAATATTATATATATTTGAAAAAAAATCAAATATACAGTTTATTTAATTAAACATATATGTGTGAGTATTATATATATGCTATATTTTTTTTATAGGAAATTTGGCGATCACACAATAAAGAATACATTCTTTATCTTGTGTGAGTATTATATATATGATATATATGTGCACAGATTTATAGGAAATTTGGCCAGCACGAAACAATTACGAATTATTATTGCATCTAACTGGAACATATTAACCCCAAGCTTGGAAAGTAGAATGTGTTTTTCACAAAACAAGGGCATTTTTTCATCTTCTCTTTGTTTCTTTTAGCTTGATGATGTTTGAGTTTGATTTTGTTATTGTAAATCTACATTATTATGTGCAAACATACTAATGTGTGGTATCATTCGTATTAATATATCAAACAATGTTATGAGTTGAATGCTATATCTTGTTTATTTTACGGAATATGGATCACTTAAGTTATATATGTATTTTTTATTATCTGCAAAATTTTTACATGTTTGACTTTGAACCACAATCCAATGCTAAAAAGCAACTATATGAATGAACTCTTTATTACGACCAAAAGCTCAAACCTATGGGAGCATTAGGCATCCTAATTACTCTAGTTTAAGAATTAAGACATATCCTAGCTTTATGGAATTATAGACAGCGAATGTCACAAGAGGAGTGATCAACAAAGTACACACAAAAATATGTCCTTTCAATGCATAGGTTAGCATTTGCACTCTTCACAAAACCTTATTTGGCATTCCCAAAAAACAGAAAACCAAATCCTATGATGTAAAATAACACTATAAAATATGCACTGCTTACTCAATGATCTCCTTGGATGACTCTCAAAAGTGTTAGAAAACATGCATAAAACATCCTCAACTAATAGTACTAAATAGTTTGTTAAAAATTTTCCTAAATAGTTGTTAATAACATTACTCCAATAACTTATTTCATGTTTTATGGTTTCAAGAATCTAAAACCCTCACGAAACCACGACATATCAAAGAGTTGATTAAATTATGTGTAACAATGGTCATTTGTCTTATATCGGATTCGAATGGAGAAATAATTAGATATAAATGGGTGGATATGCAGCATTATACAATAATTTGAATTTTTGGGTAAATGGGTAAATGTCCATCTGTTATAGTTGGTATCAGAGTCAGACCCAATCTTTGATCCGGTGTCACGCTAAACGCCCAATCCAAAGGGTGTCTAGTTTGTAGTCCTAGTAGACAGAGTGGCTCGAGCCGCAACGCCCTCGTTGCGAGTTTGGGTGGAATAAAATATAACAAGAATCATTTGTCCCACTTCAGATCCGAATAGAAAAATAATGAAGTATAAATAGATATTCAACAATTAAGCTTTTGAGAAATGGGACAAGTGCAGATACAACATACTAGTTGCCAACCAACAATCTAGATCAACAAACAAAACAGTAGTAAATCATGCCAATTAAATATTCTGACAAAGAAAGAAAGAACACACACACACATATATATATATATATATTTATAACAGTTTAGTCCTTGATCGAAATTAATCGGTCTCTAAAGAGTAGAATGCTAAACAAATTTTTTTATACTTTTAAGCCGGCGAAAATTCATCTTGTCTTTTACTGTACATGTCATTGTAGTGGAAAATTCGATGATACAATATAGTTCTATAGTAAACGTTACAACTTATATAGTGTCACCTTCAGTAAAAATATATATATTTTTATTGATTAATTTTTTATTTTTTACAGGACTCTCAGAAATAGTGTTAAATCTACACTATTAAATAGTGACAAAAAGATGAGTTAAATAACTTAAATCTACATCCGTATTAGGATATTGAGTTATATTATTTTCATACATCAATAATGAAATTGAACTCAAATATACAAGTGTGTGTGCAATATTAACAAAGAATTTAAACATTTTGATGTGGTGTCATAATAAGCATCGAACCTGTTACATAGTGTCTTAATGAAAATTTCAAATTTAAATTCGAGCTCAAATTTCAAATTTTAAATGTGTTACATTTCAAGCCAGATTTTGTTTTAGGTCGTGATAGGATTAGAATGATTTAATCTGGCCCAACCCGATCCCAAATTGCATGTTTTTATATTTTTATTTTAAATTTTCAGATGAAATCTAGCCCTTTAAATATTTGATGTAACGGTCTGAATGGGTGTATATATCATTTTTTGCTGTCCATGATAGTCATTGTAGTGGAAAATTCCATGATACAATATTGTAGTGTGGTTACTGTGGTAAGCTTTGTAACTTATGCGTTGACATTTTCTTGACAATTTTGGGCTACTTTTAATCCGGCCCAACCCAAACCCAAATTGCTACTGTATTTTCATATCTTTTATTTTAAATTTTCAGATGAAATCTAGCCCTTTAAATATTTGATCTGACGGTCTGAATGCGTGTGTGTGTGTGCACACACACACACACACACACACCCAACAGAACCCCATAGCTGAGAAATCGTCTCATCCTCGACGATGTGGGTTTGGGTAGATTATTAGGGTTTAGATCTGGAGGATGATGGATTGGGGCTGATTTGGTGAGAGATTTGGGCCACTGTAGAGGGTTTTTGGGAGAAGAAAAAGAGGAATTTTTTGGAGAAGAAAAAGAGGAATCTTTTGAAGAAGATGAAGAGGGCCAGTGAAGATGGGTTTTCGATTTGGGTAGATTTTCGAGGATGGTTTGGTTCTGATTTTGAAGACTTGGTGAGAGATTTGGGCCACCGTAAAGGGTTTTTTGAAAAAGAAAAAGATGATTTTTTTTTTTAAGATGAAAAGAGATCTTTTGAAGAAGATGAAGAGAGCCAGTGAAGAAGGGGGTTTTCGATTTCCCTGCCAACGTTTTAAACTGCTTGAAGAACTTGAAGAAGTGATGCTTGGTGGGTGGGTCTTATTTCCAAAATTACTGGCTTGAAGTACAGAGTCTATTTCTGGACGAGGAATAAAGAATTGGAATTTGGGCATTTTAATCTGAGGCCTCATCAAGAATTGTTTGTTTCTTTCATGGTATGCATTTCTTAGGGCCCGTTTGGCATGCGTTTTACTTTAGG